AGAGAGAGAGAGAGAGAGAGAGAGAGAGAGAGAGAGAGAGAGAGAGAGAGAGAGAGAGAGAGAATTGTTCCCCCGCTAAAAAATTTTCAAGGAGAGGCGCGTGATTATCTCGGAGCCGGCGAGGGATAAGAGCGCGGACTGTGACGTAGGCAGTGTTTGCTGTTATCTAAGTAAAATTATATAGATGATTATCTAGATAAAATTTTAGCGTTATCTTATCTTTATATAGATAATAAAAATAAATATTATCTATATCTGCATCTTAGATGAAAGAAAGTGTTATCTTTACTAAATTATCTAAGATAACGTACAGATAATTTCGTTTAGGGCCACATAAAAATACTTAACAGTTACACTGTTTAAATATGGATGGCGTTGTAGACCATGCATTTATGTGTGTCATATAACCTAAAAAAAAACCTGAATATATTCTATATCCCCCTTTATAATTTAAATTTTTCTATAACTTTTTCTACTGTGTTTACATGAAGTCTTAAAAATATTATCTAAAAATTATCTAGATGAATCATCATAAAATTTTATCTCTTATCTAGATATACATTCAAAACGAAATCATCTTTATCTTATCTAAGATAAATTTATATATTTTTATCTTATCTTTATCTAGCTAATTTTAAAATCATCTATGCACAACACTGGACGTAGGACAAATCGCGCGCCCGTCGTCCGCCGTTTTTCCCCTCGCGAATCAGCCGCGAGCGCGCGTCGTCGATGAGCACGCGGCTTTACGCGAGCTCGCGCGGCGGACGCGCGTGGAGTGTCTGCGCGAGCGAGTCGCGCCCCGCGCGGATCAGCTGTTGACTCGACTTGGCGACGGGGTCGGGGCGGTCGGAGCCGCCTGCCGCGCGCGGCAGTCGCGGCACGGCAGTCGGCGGCAGCGCTCCGGAGTTTTCGCTGGTCACCATGGCGTCGGGCAAGACCGTCGTCGTCCTCGCGCCGAACGGTCGCCGGCAGAGCGTGAGGGTGACGATCAACACGACGATTCTGCAGGTGAGCAGCGCCGACGGGGACGCGACGCGCGCGGCCCAAGAGAGGCCTGAGACGGGGGGGGGGGGGAGAGAGAGAGGATATGTTTCGCGCGCCGGTTTTCTAACCGGGGGGGGCATCTCTCTCTTGCAGGTTCTGGAGGAGGTGTGTCAGAAGCAGGGCTACAACGCCGACGACTATGACATTAAGTGAGCACGACACCTGGAGACTTGGATTTTGCACAGTGATATATAATTTTCCGCAATTGCCGTACATTTCTCTCCCGCGCTACCGTTACAGACACAATCGCCAGATACTGGACCCCAGCGCGATCTTCCGCTTCGCCGGGCTGCCGAACAACGCGCAGCTGGAGATGGTGGCCTGCACGAGGGCGCGCCCCACGTCCAACGTCACGATCGGCATCCAGCCGGAGGACGGGGCGAGGGTGCTGAGCGAGTTCCCGCCCGGCGCGACGCTGGCCCAGGCGCTGACGCAGATGTGTCCCGATTCCGACCTCGAGAGGGCCGTGCTGATCTACATGCATCGCGAAGTACGGCCGAGAACGACCCGTGTAACGCTCAAGTCTGCGTTAGGGCCTGAGCAGAATCCGCTGTCTTGTACTCCTGTGACACGAGACAGCGATGGCGCGTTACCTCAGGACAAGGGCTTGAAACGTAAAGCGTTGTCTTGAGAGCGCAAGACAGCCGTTCTGTTCAGGCCCTTGGTCGTAAACGTGAGCGGGACGGCTCGTCTCGCGCTCTTGAGACAGTGTTTTCTGTCTTAAATCTTTGTCTTGGAGCAACGCACAATAACTGTCTTGTGAGCGTGAGAATACGAGACAAGTATTCTGCCACCTTGAGGCAAGGCAGGAAAAAACTTACGTTGTGAAAGTCTATTGTATACGACTTGAGTGTCTCTCTCTGCCTCGCCTTCGTCCACGACAGACTCGAGCGTTTACAGATCGTTTTCTGTATCGTTTGTGTATACACACGGTGTGACATTCGCGAGGCTTCGCCGCTCGCTTGGCCGGAGCACGTCTGAGACGTTTGTAATCTCTCTCTCTCGAGGAGCTTATACTAGTCTCAAACTTGAGAATAAAGTTTTTCGGAATAGGAAAAAGTAGTGCGGATGCAAGCGTCTTTTAAATCATCGATCTTAAGCGAGAAGCATTCTAATGTCCGTTTCTACCAATGCGGATTAACTAGAGAAAGATATGAAGCAAGCTGAACCGAGATCGGTCCTTTTTTTCTAGTTTTAAAAAGTAGAGAGAGGCGAAAAGTAATTTAAAGAGAGCAAAGTTGATCTGTACTGGCAGAAGCGGGCGTGAGACCATAGTTTCTTGTTGAATTCCTTAATTTTGCATTGCACAACAGGAAGAGGTCGAGATCGACTGCAAATCTGCGAGGGATACTTTGTGGGAAATGTGGGACGTTCTGTAAAAGAGGGTAAAACTTGGCGGGTCGCCCCGTGTGTATGGCACGCCTACAGAAACTGACGTTTCGCAACGATGCGTGTATAAAGGCTGGTCTACAATACATGGAGTAAGGAGGAAGAAATAAAATGGATGTATTTCCTTACTCCTACTTCAGCTCTTAGGCTTACTCTCGGTGAATCAAAATCAATCGGTGTTACGAATATTTTAAAAATTACGCCCGTATTTCAGCTTCCTTACGCCAAAAGCTAGAAGTCAGGGCTCTCCCTCACTCCTTACTTACTCCACGTATTGTAGACCAGCGCTAACGTGAGCATGAATAAGATTGCAAATACGTCTGAAATCTTTTCTTGCAGGTATCTGGCAGAGAAGCGTTAGAGAAAACAACGTTCAAGTCGCTGGGGCTCAACAATGGAAAGGCGATCTTGAGATTGATGTATCGTGACCAAGAACAATTAAAGACTCAGGCACACGTGTCTGCTCCTCTGCTTCCAAAGACAGTCGCGAGGGCGGACGAGTCGGCGAGCGATAAAGATTACCAAAGGCTACCGTCGTCCACGCTACATTGTAACAAGACGAGGAATGACATACCGACGGAGAGTGCATCGGAAATACAAAGTCAGAACGAGCCGGAAGGCGAAGCAAAGGTAGATGCGAGAGAGGAGAGAGTAGACGCGCTCGGTGAAAAACAAGAGAGGGACGCACCGGAGACGAGAGAAGGCTCCACTGCGTCTAATGACGAAGCTCGCGAGGCGGACGAGCGTGTCGCGGGTACATGCGCAACAGTCGAGGGGAATGCGAGATATGAAATTAAGTTTGTAAGGTGTAATTGTGCATATGTGCGATCTCGAGCGACAGGGTTCGCGCTTATCGGGGGACTTGGTGTTGCAGTTGGGGGAGAGAAACGCTCTGGTGTTCAATCAAGCCGGGACTCAAGCATTGCCAAGGGACGAACTACCGGACAGCTTCTTCGACCTGGATCTGCACGACGCGAAGACACTCTTACGGGATGCTAAGCGCCGTAGAGAACAGCTCGAGGACGCTCCGCTTCTGACGGAGACACAGCGCCAGCTGGACCGGGACAAGCACATCCTCGACCGGCTGAACAAGTATCGTCGCGCCGTGATTCGCGTGCTATTTCCCGATCAGTTCGTTCTTCAGGGATTATTCGGGCCGCTGGAGACGATCCGAACGGTTAAGGACTTTGTCAAAAACTACTTGGACGATCCGGATGGCGAATTTATCATCTGTGAGTCAACGAACATGCAACAACCACATTCATTTGATGCAAAAGGCGAACATGTAATAGTTTCATTATCGATAAAATTTTATTACTCTTTTTTTTTTCCTTGCAGACACTACCCCACCAAGGCATATCTTAGACCCCGACGCACGACTAATAGACGAAAATCTTGTTCCCTCTGCTATCGTTTATTATTCCGGACAATCGTCGCTAAGGCCGAGTGTAAAAGCAAAACTGACAGATCCTAGAGCTGCCGGTATCGAAGCCGTCAAGTCTAGGTAAGATATGCCGATTGCGTCGCTCGATGTTTAAGCGACGGTCGCTCAAATTTTGCATACTCGTCTACAGGATCGCCACGATGCGGAAAGAACAAGATCCAACGGCTGAAAGTGATAGAGGCACAGTTGTCGAGAGCAACGCCACTCCGGGACCGAGCGGTAGCGATAAATCATCGTCATCGTCTCAGAATCAAAACAGGACACCGAAATGGTTCAAACAGACGTTCAAATAATCGATTGTCTAACGGCACCGAAAGGTGTGACACCTTAAATTTTCAATATAAACATTGCTATACTGATACGGGATTTCAATGAAGACCCATATGCAAACGTCCAAGGAGAAATGGACAGTCAAGATGACATCAAATTGATTTTCATCTCTTCTTGGGCGTGCACACATATGTGCCGTCATATGTATTCCTCTAACAAGTCTTAATAAAATATACAAATCTGTATACAACAAACGTCCGTGTCTCTCATTATTCTAATTGAAATGTACAAAGCTTTACACACAAGATTCTGATGCTTAGTAAAATTAGTTACAAAAGTGGAAATCAAATTATACGTATACAAATAGGATTCTTACCATCTAACTATGGCCGCGGTAATAACATCTTACATGTTATAATCTGTATATATATATATAATTATATATATATATATAATTTGTATGAAAAACAGTGATAGAGCCGAGTGATGAAAAGTACAATTGTGAAGTATGTATCAATGGTACTAACTGTGTGATAAAGGTGCTCTGATCGATAACATTAAGTATATATTTTATTGAGTAATAAATGTAATAATTTGGATAGCAACGAGATTTTAGTCCATTGTCTTTTCTCCTTTGTTTTCGAAATGGCAAATGCTTAATGTACTTTGCAGAATGAAGCGAAGGATTGTAAGAATGTTTACGTGAACCGACTATGTTAATCCGTCTTACTATACGCAGTGCCATTAACTTTGTAAGTCGGGCGGCACCGTCGTAGGCGACTGCAATTGCAGATGCATGAGCCTGCGAACGGGACCGCCGATTATGTTCCCGGCCGGGCCGGAGCCGCCGGCCTCGGCTTCGATACTTTCTCGCAAACTTGCCTCTACGGGATCCGTGCTATTGTTATCGTCGTCCGCCACCGAGTTCTCGTCTTTTACCATCTGCGACTGCAGCTGCGAGTCCAACAGCCGCATATACTTGTCCATATCGCCGCCCTTGTCCTCGTCGTCGCCACCCAGCGATCCCTCCGAGCTGCCCTCGAACTCGCCCTCTCCTCCCGGGACGACTAGGTCTAGGATGCCTCTTAACGTACTGTCGAATACATCCGCGTCGAAATCTATTCGCGCGCCGTCCTCCGTGTCTTGCATATCATTGTCCATTGATTGTTCTCTGTAAATCACGCTGACGATTAATCTGCTTACCGTTGTTTTACTAAACCACGATGCGTCGTTGAAAATTCTTTTAGCGATAAAAGGGCACTTTTTTTTTAACAGAAAACTCATACCCTAAGAAGTGCACGCCATCAACGTCGCTGGTTTGATTGAGAAACGATTGCACCTTTTCTCGAAGGCTCAGCGGTTCCTGATCCAACTTTTTATCCTTAACGTTGCCCCACTGTTGGTTCAAGTACGCTTCCAATTGCGTAGGATTCACATTTAGCCAGCTATCGGTATCCGCGGGACTCAACATAATCTCATCTTGAGCTGCGTACAGAGGACACTTGATTATACAACCGAGTACGCGACGGCTTGGGCAATTATAGAAATTATTATTAATCATGTAATCTGTAGGCTACTCTTTAAAATAGTAAGTGAAATATGTAAATGACAAATTACCATGCATCTCAATGTCATTCGTCTGTATGTTCTCCCATGCTTCTAAGACTTTTTGAGGATCGCTCTCGCACAAACTCGTTAGATTATCAAACAAGGTCGCATGCTTCAAGAAATACTCTCTCGCCGTGGACAGCAGCGTGTCACGTTCCTGACTACCTTCCAACAGATCTCTAAAGTAACCGTTCGCCTCTAAACGAGCTAGGTAAGCGTTGAATGCTGGTTCGTTCAGCTTTAACTTGTCAGCGTCGTCGGGAACGTCCGACTGTTCTCCGATACGTTTTCTACGTTCCTCATTGGCCCGGGCTACTAGCATCTCTAAACCGCATGCTATCTTAACTCCGAGAACATGAGCATTGTATTTTGAGCAAGTCGCAGGTGGTATGTTCCAACCTGTTCTTGGATCGCCGGTATAACGGCAGTGCGTCGCCATCGCGTACAAACACTTGGTCATTTTAACATTGACCATCGTTCGTTGCTCGGGAGGGAAATACCTCATGGCGCGACAAACCTGCAACGACAGCAACGGGTGTGACAATGGCGTAAAGTGAGATTATATGCGCGTTAAAAGAGGTAAGGTGAAATTAATTCTCGTGTACTTTGCGTTCGAGCGGGTCCGAATGGCAGATAGTTCTAATCACTGGCGCGATGAATCTTGGCTCTAGGCGGAGTATAGAGGCCGCCTTCTCCGGCAGGTACGCCCTGGTCTTGTGCCGCCTCTTCTGAATCTCGTCGGGATACACGCCGACTCGCTTCTGCAGCGCCAGCTGCACCTTCTCGGACATCTTGGAGATATGTGGCTTGCCGTTAATGTTGTTGAGCAAATTGGGAAACGACGTTCCCCGCTCTCTGATAACGTGAATATCACCGTTGTGAATGAACACTCGGTCCTGGCAGGTCTCGGGGCTCGCCCAGAGCGGCAGGACGTTGGCGGCTTCTATCAGCAGGAACTCCCCGTCCGAGTCCACCACCCGGGCGACGAGTCCGTCGAAGACTCTGGTGAGCCTGAATATCAGGTACACCGTCAGCCACTCGTCCCCGATGTCCTCGTCGAAGCGCAGGCTCGCGTAAATGTGCGGCAGGGTGTGGTAATCTGGGGGAGAAATCGCTCGATTACTCTTACCGATCTCGTACGACTGCCGGCACCAGACTGTGCAACACTCACCCTCCTCCACCGCCGAGCCCTCGAGGGTCCGGTTCAGCAGCATCGTCTGCTTGGTCCTCGGGCGGAAGCAGAGGCTGCCGCTGTGCCAGATGTGGTCGGCGACGAGCGGTGCGATCTCCCCGTTGTACTTGGCGATCTCCTCGCTCAGCCTGGCCTCCGTCACCGCGTCCGGGTCGGACGCGTAGCAGAAGTTGGGGTAGAGAAAGCACTCCATGATATCCTCCTCCTTGGCCTTGTGCGTGGGCGCCGCGTATGCCATTTTCTGGCGTCGCATCGGAGATCCCGCGGGGTGAGCCCGCGTGCCCCAGCGCGCGTTCCGCCTAAGTCGCCGCGCACACCGAGCCGACACTTGGGAAGGATCGCGCGGCCGCCCCCTCACGGCGCCCGTCCGCCATGGGCGTTCCTCGTGGATGACCGCATAGACCGATAATAAGCGTGACGCCCTCCCCCGAGTTGTTTACTGCATCGTTCACAGGCGCGCGCGGACCCTAACCTACGCGCGCTCGGCCAACGTTCCGCGACGCGAGATCGACGCGACCCCCCAGGCTCTGGAGTTGGTGTCCAGGGCACGCGCTCTGCGAGACGCGCCAGTCTAACCTAACCTAACCTCGCGACGCGCGCGCGCGCGCCCTACCTAGCCCGACCTAACCTTCGCTCGCGCCCCTCAATCATTCAGGAGATGCCGTCTGACGCGGTCGCGCCGCGGTGCTCGCGTAACTCGCGCAACTCGCGCTCGGTGCATTCGTGCGACGATGGGCCGCGACGTGAGGCGCATGAGTGGAGACGCGCGTCCGCCTCGCCGCTGAGGGACGACGCGTACGGGCCGACGTCCCGCCGATGAGGCCGCCGTCGTGACGCCTGCTGACCCGAGTTCGGCCCCGATGGACCCGGCCTGCCGAGCGATCGCGCGTCCCCGCAGTCGACGGTAATCGCGGGCGAGCCGCGAGGGACAATGCCGAGCGTCAGGAACCAGCCGGGCGGCCGGTCGTCGAGCTGCCTGCGCAAGTACCGGTTGGTCTTCGCCTTCGGCATCATCATGCTGTGCGTCCAGGCCTACCTGCACACGTTTTTCGGCCTGGTCAGCGACAAGAGCAAGTCCAGCCGGCTGTCGTCCGGCGAGGTAAGCTCGCCCAGCCCCGTCCTGGGGAAAATCACCGACGGTGCAGACGTGTCGGCTAACTTATCGCGCTTTACCGAGTGCAGGGTGGCTCTTCCCAGCCCGAGGAGGACGAGGGCCTGCCGAAAGGCCTGCGTCAGCTGAAGCTCCCGCCCGACAAGCAGGCGAGCACGAGCAGGCAGACTCAGCCGCAGTCCCAGCTGAGAAACCGCACCGCCAGAATCAAACTGGATCGCAGGTCGTTGAACTTCACGCCCGCGTGCGACGTCACGGTCCGGGAGGCGGTGAGCGCCGTGACGCGCGCCCAGAGCCAGGCGTGCAAGCAACGCATTGTCAATGTGACGTGCCTTAGCCAGCAGGGTCTGTTGTACCCGGAAAGAGTACAATCTTTCTGTCCCCAGTCTCCAGGTTTCGCAGGCGTGCCGGTCGATCTGGGCTGCTTCAAGGACGACAAGACGCTGAGAGCGCTCTCCGGCTATTATCATGTATTTAAAGGGAACAACACGCCCGAGCGTTGCGCCTACATGTGTCTTCAGTCGGGCTTCCCGTACGCCGGTACAGAGTACTCGTTAGTGTCTCACGCGACTGAAATGTATACACAAGTGTATGCCGCGCAATCCTTTTGTGACATTACGCTTGGTTTCAGGATGGAATGCTTCTGCGGAATGGAAGAGCCGCTGCAGACCAAGCGGCTGCCAGACTCCAGCTGCAACATGAAATGCTCCGGCAACCCGAGGCAGACGTGCGGCGGTTATTTAACCATTAATATTTATTGGACCGGAATCCAGAGTACGTGAATGCGAGTAAATGCATGTAGACGGCCTAAGGGGATGGTTAAACGAGTTTCTTTTCGTCCCGACAGAATTCAAGCCTCAAGAGGCGAGGAACTCGAGTTTGAAAAACGATCTCGAGAAACCCGTGCGAATAGCTTATCTGCTGACGGTGAACGGCAGGGCGAGTCGGCAGGTGAAACGACTTGTCGGTATTTTGTATCATCCCTCGCATTTATTTTATATCCACGTGGACGCGGTGAGTGCAACGATGTGGAGGGAGAGAATTATTTTAGCTCCAATTCGAATGAGATGGTCGAAGCACGAGTCTTTTTTCTCAATTGCAGTTTATTGCTTGTTTCTGTTTCAACTTTTTTTTTAGATCTATGACATTTTTCCAAATTATTTCCGTTATGTGTGAATCCGTTATACTAAATCCTGCGTTCCAAAATTCACCGCCAGCGCTGAAACTCTACGGTGTATGTTTCGTGCGTTGTAGATCTTCGCAGCGCTGGCGGTAAATTCTGGAAGAAAGAATAACAGATTGACAATTAGATCTATATAGTTTTCGATCAAATTGTGCGTGTGTTTTCAGAGGCAAGATTATTTATATCGCGAAATGTTGGAACTGGAGAAATCGTGTAAGCTGAACAATATCAAAGTGGCGAGAGGGGAAGGCCTGCGGCACGCGAGTATTTGGGGCGGCGCGAGTCTCCTGACGACGTTTCTGAGGTCCGCGCAACAGATGCTCGCCTACGATCAGCACTGGGACTTTCTCGTAAACCTATCGGAATCCGACTTCCCTTTGAAGAGCAATAATCAGCTGACTGAATTTCTCAGCTGGAACAGGGGTATGAATTTCGCCAAGTCGCACGGCAGGGAGGTTCAGCGTTTCATAGCCAAACAGGGTTTAGACAAGACTTTCGTCGAGTGCGAGGCGCGCATGTGGCGAATCGGCGATCGAAAATTACCAGACGGTATGCTGATTTTTCCTCCGCACCCTACGTATCTTTAAATATTTTCTTCACCAATTGATACACGTCTCCTTGGAGTTTTCGTGTATACGCAAATGTTTATAAAAATTGAGGTACTATTGCAACGGCGTATTCTTGACACGAAATCAAGTCAAAAAATCCTGTATCATTTTTCCTCACGATAAACAGTCGTCGAGATATCGTATGATGAACATTGAAAAAGTTGCCAAGTTTTCTTTGAATATCTCGAAAATTATTAGACAAAAATGTTTCAGACAAAAGTTGTGCCAATTAATTAATAGAAAAAGATGTAATGAAAAATGCAGGTTTTTATTTAAAAAATTCAAGATTACCTTCATGTAACCTTTAAACGACTATCCAGGGTCAAACCAATGATACCATCTTACGCCCCCTTGAAACCATATAACTTTTGTCTCAAACATTTGTTACTAAAATGCATAGCTTTTAAAAAATTCAGGGGTTTTCATACTTTTTCCCCACCCTGTATAATTATTATTACGATTATAAATCTATTCTCATCACGCTTGCAGGTATTCAAGTTGACGGCGGTAGCGATTGGTTCGCCCTGAGCCGAGACTTCGTCGAGTACGTTGCCGATCCAAATCCCAGTCAGCTGGTGGCCGATCTGTTGAAATTGTTCAAATACACCTTGCTGCCAGCCGAGTCGTTCTTCCATACGGTCTTGAGAAACTCGCGATTCTGCAATACTTACATAGACAATAATCTGCACATGACTAACTGGAAGAGGAAGTTGGGTTGCAAGTGCCAGTACAAGGCCGTGGTGGACTGGTGCGGGTGCAGTCCGAACGACTTCAAACTCGAGGACTTTAACCGGCTGCGAAACACCGTGGACCGCAATATATTCTTCGCCCGCAAGTTCGAGTCCGTTATCGATCACAGAATCATAGACCGCGTGGAGGAGTGGCTGTATCCCGAACGAATGAACAAAACGGCTAGATCGAGGGGCTACGACATGTACTGGCAAAGCCTGTATCATCACGCGGACTTGAGCCCGCTGCCGGACGACGCGCTGTTAACGCTCTCGTATTCCTTCGCGAGATTGGTTTACCGCCATCTCAACATAAATCACAAAGATGTCCGCCTGTTGGAGAACACCGCGTACTTCCGCGAGAATCGTTTCGCTGGTATACTGATTCTGGTGGAGGGCAAGGCGGAATCCTCCGACGTATCTGCACTGCCCGACGGTCGCGCGAGACGCGTGGAGGCTTTGATCTCCGTGCGACACAACTTCTCCCCCAGCAGATTATGGTCGGGAAAGATACGGGGTCTCTCCGTTAGCACGGACTACGATCAAAAGGAGCAGACGTTTAGAAACTTGATGGGCAGCATGGGACCGTACTCGACCCCGGTCTTGGCTTACGAGTTCGACGCGAGCGTTACGATATCGCAGAACGTATCGGTCCTATGGATTGACCCGCACGGCCGCCTCGCCGACGTGAATTACCTGCTGATCGAAGAGATGACCTTGGTGATTATCACATGCGACACCAAAGCTTTTCTAATTTTTTTATTTTTTATTTTATTATGTCTTTTCAGGTGGGACACGTTAAGCCGCAGCTAAACGAACAACTAGCCGTTGGTACTTGGCGACTGTTATTGGCCGCCGATACTCAACTGATAGCAAAATTAAAATTCCTCGTGACTCCGCTGTCCTACTGGAAGGCAAAGAGGATAGATTCGGACAAGGCGAAGGAGATAATGGACGGCCCGAGCTTCGTTTATCACGTTACGGAGGAGATGAACAAGAGCTGGTCGAAGGTGGTGAAATCCGCGCTGGCGAACGAGCCGATTACGCACAGTCAGAGCAGACTCGGTGAGAATCTCGACGATTGGCTGGACAGATTAGTATACGAGCACTACGGGATCGACGAGGTGTGCGATGCCGACGATGAGATTCGACCCGAATCGAAGCTACAAAAGTGTCTCAACACCCCCTGGAGCTCTTTGAGCCCCGATTTAAAGGCTGATACTCGTAACCTATGTCAAAACTACTAATTAATTATTTTACCAACTACGTGCCATTTTCGCCGTTTTGAAATCTATTGTATGTGTATAAAGATTGCAAGACATCTTTAGATATTTTTATATCGATTAAACTGTACATATATATATACTTGGTATTTATAAGAAAATGGTATATATATATATATGTATACATACATTTTTGGTATATGTTGTGCAATTAATATCTCTGTCGGATATTTTCACATTAAAGATTAATGGATTATATTGATAAGGTGCGGCGTGTCGTTTTCTTTGTATCTAAGGGCCTGAGCAGAATGACTGTCTTGTATTCTTAAGTCACAAGACAGTTATTGTGCGTTACTTTAAGACAAGGATTTAAAACGTAAAACGTCTTGAAAGTATAAGGCAGCCATTCTGCTCAGGCCCTTGGGGAAGCAGTCTTGGACCGTTCTGTTTGATGATAACAAATGTGATAATGTATTGTACTTTCAAATGAGACAGACAAATAGCAGTTGTAATTAATTAGGCAAATTTATAGTTGATCTTTTTAAATATTTTTACGCGATTCACGTACAGATTGTATTTCAAATTTCCCACCCTCTTCGAGACTTCCGTCCATGGATGTAGGAATAAACTGGATGGAACGTAAGGTTTTTTGGGCGAGAGGGGCGAAGCCTGAGGCTGGATTCACATGGAGCGTAA